CAAAATTTTATATATGATACAAATTAAATGTGATCCCTTTTTTTACAAGATTTTACCTTCTAAATCTCATTATAAAACCCTCCAATCTTTTGGCAAGATTCTATTTCAAGAAAATTTATTTTCATTGACTTATGAAAATTTTCATTATTTTGACAAAATTTAATGAATTTAATTTTCTAAAAAATTATTAAAAATTTTGTCATTAAATAAAACATAATAAAAAAAATAAAAAAAATTACCAAAAATGACTTAACCAATTGCTGGTTAATGGTCAACGACTCAATTAGCAACTCAAATGGCTCGATCAATCGGCTTGCAACTATATTCAACGGCTCCAATCATCTTGGCTTGGCTTGGTTCACAACTTGAAGAAATGGGTAAGTCACAAGTTCCGAGCTAGGTCAACAAAATGCACAAATCCCCTAGTTCTTGCAACGGTGCACTTTGAATTTGTTTAAAAGCATGAAACAAGGCCTTTTCTTTCTTTTTTATATTTTACTTTCTCTTTCTAAATGGCAAACTCTCTCATCTCTATCTACAAACCCAGCTGGCACGAGTTATAACCTTGAAATCGATGACAAAACACCAAAAGAAAATATTTTTTTGATATTCTTAACCTCCTTAATTTGTTTTCTTTGTTTTGATTTTCAAAAATCAACCTTAAATTGCCCGAGTCAAAACTAAAACCCATGAGCTTTCCCTACTATTTCACTATGTTCTAGAGATAAAAAAAACTTTCCTTGTGCATTATATGTTTCTTCACCTCTAAATCTTTCTCTTTTACAAATCTTGAGCCCTAAAACTACTATAACCTCTTCAAAACCCAAACCTCATCTGAGATTTCCCAAACACAAAAAAGCACGCTATCACACTTATTTTTTTGCTGTAATCTCTTACTTTCTCTATGAAAATAACTAAAGATAAGGATGTCCATATGAAATCCTCTTTCTTTTTTCTTTTTTTTTTTGTGAAAAGCATGAAAACATTTACACAGATGAAAAAATTATATGAACAAATGCATGTATGTAATGCATAATACAATAGATATGAAACAATATCATGTAATGTAAGAAGAAAGTACATACGAACCTAAAATCTCACATTTTTATGAAATAAAGAAAATTCTTAACATAAACATAAATATGAACAAATTGATGTCCAAACAATAAGAAGCCGAGCTCTAAAGGTTGGCTTTGTAAGTATTTTCTACATGTAGAGTTAGGTTATTTAACTAAACTAAAGGTTTCCAAATTGTTCATCACTGTCATCCATAGTAGATTACAAAGGCACTCTAATCTACATCCATTATAAGCTACAAATAGAAATAATTCAATTTGAGTAAGAGTATTTTGTTGACCACAACAAATGTATGAAACTTCATGATAGTGTAACTACTCTATTCCCCCTAGAGGGATGAAACTCATGTATGGAGCTCATGTTACGAATATAAATGTGTTAGTGTGTACATGAAGAACATTAAATGCTAAGAAAGATCAAAAAATAAAAAAAATCATTAAATCCATTATATAAGGCTTGGATAACATAAAATCAATTATTGGCTCAACTCTCAAATGTTCCCAGTGGAGTTGCTAAACTATCACAATGTACAAATTTAAAAACTTGACTGCTAAACACGAGATATGGAATCGTCATCAATCTTTTTTATTTATGTTAGATTGATTATCTAGCTGAATCTATCCTCTTTTAAAGATATCCTAAGCTAAACTCAGATTCTTTAAAAAAGTAGATACTAGTCTATAAAATCATACTAGGTTCGAAAGTACAGTTATGTATAGGAAATGTTTTATCACCTTCATAGTGCCCATCGAAAGTATATTACCAACTAGTTTTCATATTATCCATTAAGCCTAAAAGCTTCCCAAATCAATGGCAAATTGGAAATTGTTCTTAATTTACTCCAATCTTTTTGCAAAAATTTAAGAATATTTTCTCATCTTAAAATATTCAAGAAGATTCTTATCTCTTTTGAAGAGATTTCATTATTTGATTAATTAATTTTCTTAAAATAAATTTTTATGCAAGAAAAAATTTCAAATTGAACCTTTGATATTGAAAATTTTTTTTAAATTACTCTAATATTTTGATAACAATTCAAAAATATTTCTTCACTAAAAATTTATAGCTATTGTAACTTTTTAATAATTCCATCATCAAAAGATTCAAAAATTTATGCAAATGCAAATTTAATGTGATTCTCTTTTTTAAAAAATCAATAAATTATTCTAATCATTTGGCAAAATTTTATCTTCAAAATTTTATTATAAAAACCTCCAAGGTAAGATTTTATCTTTAAAAACTTATTATAAAACCTTCCAATTTTTCGATAGGATTCTATTTTAAGAGAATTTGTTTTTGAAAATCCATGAGATATTCTAATGTTTTCCCAAATTTCATGAATTTAATTTTCAAAATTATTTTTATTAAAAAATTTGTAATTTAAATAAAAGCATAATAACTAAAAAATGCAAAATACAAAAAATGCTCGGTCAAAAGCTGGTCAATAGTTAATGGCTCGATCAATCAGCTTGGAACAACAATAACGGCTCCAATTGGCTCAGCTCAGCTTGGTTCACAGCTTAAAGAAACAGATCAATCGTGCGGACTCGACGTCCAATCAAGAGGACACGCGGATCCCTTGGTTATTGCAACGGTGCACTTTGTGTTTGTTTGAAAGCAAGAAACAGCCCCTTTCCTTTCGTTTTTCATTTTTTACTCTCTCCCGAAATAGCAAATTCGCTCATCTCTCTTCACAAACTCAGTCGGAGTGAAAGCCCCAAACTGGTGAAATTTCGCCGCTCCGGCCGTTGTACTCCAGCGCTCTCGGGTCGCCGTACTCCAGCGCCCTCTGGTGACAAAATACCAAAAGAAAACCTTTTTTGGATCCTCTTAACCTCCTCAATTTGTTTTCTTGGTTTCTGATTTTCCAAAATTCGCTATAAATTGCCCAGAACTAAAATAAAACCCGTGAGCTTTCCTCACTGTTTTCACTATGTTCGGGTTATCAAAACACTTCCCTTTTACATTATATGTTATGTTTCTTCACCTCCTTATCTTTCTCTTCTACAAATCTTGAGCCCTAAGACTACTATAACCTCTTCAAAACCCAAGCCTCAGCCAAGATTTTCTAAACACCAAAAAGAAAACAAAAAAAACTCGCTGTCGTACTTTTTTTTTTTTGTTGTTGCAATCTCTTACTTTTTCTATATTGTATAACGCTGCTAATGAGATTCTTGTGGCTGTGTGTTTGTTTATGAGGTGTTGGGTTGCAGGTTGTAGTCTAGAAAGGAGTATAGCAGGGAGGTTTGGTCACTAGCTTTTGGGAATTCGGTGTGGGTGCCGAATTGATGGCCCATTGTTGCTTCTTCCTCCTTGCTGAGTTGGGGTCCTTTTAAAAAAAATTGATCCCCCACCAAAAAAGATTCTCAATCAAAGCGAATTTTGGTCTCACTCAAATTCCAATCTTTGATTCAATCTCCAAAACCTCAATCTTAATCCAAATCAATTCGGATTTTTCTCTAAGGAATTCTCTTTTTTTCTTCTTTTTCAATTTTTTTGATTTTTTTGTGATTTAAAAAAGAGAGAACTATAAATTAATAAAAAATAGATAAATAAATAAATTTAAAAAATCAAACGCTTGATTTGGATTCAGGACCTAAACAAAGTTCAAGACCAAATAAATTCAAGGCCTAAATAGTAAATTCAAGTTCAAATAAACTAGTCTACGATTCAATTTATGACTCATATTTACTAATGGACTTTTGGAACTCGAAAACGAAAATAGACAAAACATCCGTGAAATTAGATATATAGAAATATTCTCTTCCACAAATAGATTAACCAATTTCATACAATAAAAGTTATTCTCAAATGGGAGTAACTTTCAAGTGAAAGGCATCAATTGAGCTTTTTAATTGAGTTTCATTTGTGAAATAAATATCAGTTGATAAAAATATAAAATAAGTTAACGGATTTGACAAGTCATAGCATAATGTGTTAAACTTTAATTGAATTAGGTCACGATGGATTCCACCTTAATTAGATTAGAAAAATAAAAGTGTGAATATTTGTTTCATGTAAGTTTTTAATATTTTTTTAAGGACTTTGAGTTTTTATATCATTTATATGATCTGAGTTTATAATTGTGTCTTTATGTATTTTGAATTTTTATTATTTATTAATTATAATAAATTAAAATAAAAAATTTTTAAAAATTAACAAAGAAAATACAATTGTAATATATAAAATAATATATATTTTTTAATGTTAATATTGTTGTTTGTTTTATTTTTATTATTTTATATTAAAATAATTATAAATATATGCAAAACGATGAAAATTTTGACAAAAAATTAATCCACTCCAATGTAAGGAGGGGCTACATCTAATTAATAGCCAGAAGTCCTTTTTGTTACGTGAATTTGCTTTAAAATGCAAATCCCATCTTTTTTTCTATTTTGTACAAAGTTGAAAGCCTTTCACATTTTTTTTTTTTTTGGATTCGTTTTTGTTTTTGGAATATGGTCTCTTATGATCAGATTTCGCACGGTTGTATAGGAAAAAAAAATGAGATGAGGGGATCGAGATAGAGAAAGGAAAGATTGCAGGAAAAAAATAGTAACATATGCGCTCCACATGGATGCTGTGTACAATTCATTCCAAAATTTTGATGATACGATAAAAAAATTCAAATATTATCCTTTCACTAGAGGATGCCAGCATCGACGATATTAACCTCTAGTACCGAATTGACACCCAAAAAAAAAAAAAAAAATGAAAGTGCTATGTTAAAAATTTTTTATATTAAGAACCGAAAAAGACATTATCCCATTGATAAATAATTATTTAAGCATTCTTGCGAAAAAAATGATACGACTGTTTGATATGTTTAATTAACTTCAAGAGCCTTTTTGTATTTAAGCCGTGAATTTATTTTCAATTGTGAACTAGTTTGGCAAGTCCTTTTTGCTACTGCCATAAATTTGCTTTTAATGCCAATTCTATTAACCAGACAGAATATCCGATTGTAAAGTTGGAAAAGTCAGCAGAAATAATTGCCCCTTTTCTTTTCCCTTAAACGCAAAATGGCGGCAAAATCTAATAAAATAAATTGCATCTGAAAATTGAGAAATACAGCATGAAAATCTTCTAAATCTGTAACAGTTCATACTCTGACGAGTTCTGAAAATTTTGCCACATTGATAAATGATGGCAAACTGTTACTTGCGAGCTTTAGGCATAGAAGCATTTCTCGCTATCCGAACAACAAAGAATAAATATGTTGCACTTGAATCTGTGATCCACTACCTTAGAATAAGCATTTACAATTTATGAAATGATACGTATTTACAACCTTCGAGGGATAACTCACATCATTAGTGTAAAGAATAGGGTACTGCATTGCCAAATTTATTTTCTCTTTCTGCTGTAACTCCGCTGCAGTTTCCAAGACCAACTAAAAAGAAATAAAACAAGAGCCACTCCACTGGACAACCAGAAAATTACCAACCATTTCGGCATCGGCTTTGGATATAAACCTGATGATGGGTAAGGAAACAAAAAATAGAAGAGGTCAACAAAATTGCAAACTGGAAAAAAAAAAATCAACAGGAATTCCATTATCATTAGCGTATAAACAATTAAGATAAGTCAAACCAACTCTTGTAAAACATTATATGGGGATTGGAACATGCCTTGTCCAAACTTGACACAGATCAGAAGCTCAACGATGCAAATTGCAAGGGAAAGCCAACAAAATGCACCAACCTTCTTCACTGGTTTTCTGAAAAAATCAACAGGAGTTTCAGTGAAACAAGAAAATTCTTTACGGAGTTATTAACATTTTTCTGGCATTATATGTGTTTTATCCAAAATAAATGGAGAGAGAACAAGGGAGTACCGGTCTTGGAGGTATGAGTTGTACTCACGAATTGTTGGTATTGCTATTAGCCACCACAAGATCAACCTATACACAATAACAGGGTTTCGAGGAGGAATCCAGAGACAAAACTTTAAAAAGAATGTATTAAGTTCTACTGTCAAGAAGACAACGCAAAGGCTGAGAACTTGAATGAATCGCCACGGATCAAGCAGGGGATGCCATTCATCTTTGTCCCACTGTGCTGGTGTAAATTGTCCTAATGTTCGTTTCACCTGACAACAGCACAGAGCAATGACCATTTCACCACTTGAATTTTTAACTACATTGGTCTAAGAAAGCTTCAAAAACTCTAACAAGGCATTAAGGTGAAGCCCAAGGCTAAATTTCCTAGTCAAGTGAAAAATATGAGAAACAGGAAATCAAAAAAGAAAAGAAACCATATATAAAAGGAAAAGGGACCATATTTCCACTTCCGAGCAGACTATAAGGTTTAGATATTGCAGTAGTTTTCACATTTATAAAAAGTATTACACAACAAGAAACATACTTTGCCAATGATGTTAGGTTGGCGACTTATACCAACCCACTCATACGTTCTGCCGTCGAAGTACCTAACGGTATGCATTCCAGCCCAAATACCTACAAGCAAACCAAATATGTTGTTAAAATAGGCTGAAGGATCATTAACTCTTTATTTCCAGACTAGAAACTAGCAAAAAAATAAAAGTTAAAGTCTATATCCATGATAGTTGCACAGACTAAGCTCTAGAGATCACAACAATTTAATCGATAATCTAGACATAGAAAAACTGCTATTCCAACTTAGGTTGCATGTTTTGAAAAACTTAACCAAGTAATAAACAGTATAAAAGACTGAGGAATACAATAATATGTAGGCTAAAAATGGGTTTCCACACCCACATTTATACTATTTTGTTTGGGGAGTAAATGAGTTTGGTATCACTAGTTAAGTGAGACTAACTTGGTTATTATAATTAAATAAAAATCTAAAAAAAATAAATTAACAAATTAAAATAGAGTTGTTTTAGTCATTTGCCTTTCTAAGTATTATTATTGGGATCCACTTTAAATCTCGTTTCTTTTTTTCTTAAAGTGATTTTTTTTTTTTTGTTTCACATGCACTTAAAACAACCTTATTACTTGTGAAAAATCACTGCCTTGCTACTTTCCCATCTTTCACCCACGTAGTGACTTTGCACAAATTCTACTGTTCTAGTAATGAATGAAAGCAGTGATACATGATACATCATAACTTCTTGACCCAGCTTATGCATTTCTCTTAGAAACATCAACAAATAGATGAACGTATCAGCAGAACCAGAAATACCAAACAGGATGGCAGCAAAATTCTTTTTTTGTCACACAACTAAAAACAAATAATGACCAAATAATGGGGCTGGAAACCCCAGAAGTATTCTGAATGGGAGGAAATATCAAAGCAGAACGTAGGATCCCTACCAACAAATTAATTTTTTTGTTACACCATATATAAACTTTCTAACAAGCATTAGCATAGATAGAAAATGAAACTCAAAATCGCATTCCTAAAACCAGGTTAATCAGTTAATATATATTGTTCAGTTGCTTGTGTATAGTTCTACGGTCCTATCACTTATATTGATTTAAAAGAGGTCAATATCGTATGCTACAGCCTACAGCACAACAGTGACCAAAGCAAATGAAAAAATGAAAAACAAAGAGAAAAGAATATGGCAATGCAGGATCTTACCAAACCAATTACACGTCAAAATATCAAGAATAATGCTGTCCCACCAGCACTCATTAAAGTTGGGTAGCATGTGTCGGAAGGTAAACTGTATATGCCATCATGGTAGATAGTTTAGGGATCCAAAACAGACAATAAGGACATGGATAAACTTACCAATAATAATATGTCTAAATGGGAAATCATAACAGGAGAAACAATAAGCATGTCCAGTCAAACAACCAACCTCCATAAACTCAAACCCGATTGATAGAACCCAGAGAAGTGGCTGATTGCGGATTAAAATGGCCTTGCCCCACCAACCAAAGATGTGGGCTAGAACAAATTCATCAAATAGCGTTTCCTAGAAATAATTTTTTTTACACAAAACAAAATTAGAAGTACGAAATACAAACCACAATATTGTGCACCAGAAAACACAGGCACAAGCATGCATTAAAATAAATAGCCAAACAAAAAGAGGTAAATGAAGAAGAACAAAGTAGAGTAGCCAGGTTGTGCAATAAGATCCATACATAAACATTCTTAAACCTGCTAGAGGGATTTTCAGGAATATATATGCGACAATCAGCACCATAGGATCTTTCTGGAAGCTCTGCATGGACATGCAAACAATAATCAAGAAACTTCAATAGAATGAATAATAGAAGAGCAAATATGAAACTACAAGTCTTTCAAAGCTAAAAGCAGTACCAACACCAAGGTCGGGATGGAGAAACTTCATGAACTGCCTAGCATCATCACGCTTCTGCAAAACAGAATTGCAAGCAAACATCAGTAAACATTTATTCAACTTTGGACGACAGCATGTGTGTATAGACAGAACCATTCCAGATCTATACTGAGTTAACCCTTTATGCATACATACATGTATGTCCCACTTTTTTTCATGTGTGTGTGTGTGTTGTAGAGAGAGAGAGAGAGAGAATGATGTCTGTAAGTGATGCATGTCAACTCCTATTTGCAAGGTGAGCATCTTTCGATATTCTTAACTGATAACATGTTAACAGTATCAAAAGCTTTAAATTGTGAAAGGGACAAGAGTTTATGCAAACAATTTGCAAGGTATTTCTAAGAAGTCAACTAAAAGAGTCCAGGTGCAGTAGTAATATCGACTAACAAAAAGAAAAAAAAGAAAAGCAACTGTGGACAAATGTAAATAAGCAAGCATAATATATAAAAAATAAATAAATAAATAAACATTGCAATGGACAAAAAATATAGATAAAAAATCAAAGCTGAACACAAGGAAACTAACCTGAAAAAGCAAAAATGTGAGTGCAACAAGGTAAACAACAGCCATTCCATGAACTAAACGCCAAATTGCAGGATGTGGACGAATAAGGACCCTGCAAAGAAGTTTAACTTTTTTTAAGTGAGAGAGAAATAAAACTAGCAGTCACTAACCATGCTAATATGAAATGCTGGTGATTAGAACAAAGATTACAAAAAAAGGGATTAAACTCAAACATTATCCATAACCAAAATTATAGAATTCCATTGCCATCTTCTCCAGCCAGCAAAATCATAAGAGAATTGGTATGACATCATTGAAACCATTTTTGGTATAGGACAGATCAAAGGGCTCTTATAGCAAATACAAATAAATAATCCAACTTTAAATCTCACTCCCCCCTCCCTGCTTCCCTTTCTAAGGTCCAACTTTGTTTGAAATGTAAAACATTGATGCACATAAAGACATTCAGGCAATAAAAATGTGAATATTTATACGATAAAAGCACTTAATGATGATAGAGATGAGTTTGTTCTTCACTCATCTTAATATACATTCCACATAAACAATGCATTTCCTTCAATAGCCTAGAACAACCAAGTGAAAGTCATTGACAATTCCCCAGGGCAAAATTTTCAGCCTTCCTTTGTCATGAAAGCCTCTAATGGTTCAAGTTTCTTTTATTTAGACATATATTCTGAAAAAGGAAAATTCAAAATTCCATGTTTTTAGAAGGTTACAGAAGAATCAAGTCTGTGGCTTTTCAGGAAGTTTCTTAATGCACCAAAAAAATTGTAATGCCAATCAATACCACATAAATTGTAATGCCAATCAATACCACTAATTAGTAATGCAAGCAACTAAAAGAAATGCACCAAGGCAAATGTACTCGGTCAAATATGGAAACTAGACCATTCTACACCAGCTTTGGTTGCACCAAAAAGGCTTTCAAGTTGAAGCAGATTTTGGACTGCAAGCCAAGATGATAAATATGACTCCTTTAAAACTTAACTCCATGTTTATTCCTTCATATACAGCGACAAAACCATGCTAATTTCCGGAGACATTTGGACTCCCAAATTTCATAAGTGTCTCCAAAAACCAAGGTTACTTACTGGACAAAAAAATCTAGTTATCCCTGCTTGATACAGATGCCAAGCACAAGCAAATCTTTAGAGACCCAAATAGTATAGAATCCAGTGGAAAACAATTAAGGATGTGTTTGATATATAAGATTATGATAAGATAGGATAAGATGATATTGTGAATAGGATTAGACTAAATAATGTCATCCTATCTTGTGTTTGATGTATGCAAGGATTAAGATAGAATTATTTATTGATCAAAATTATCTTTCTTCAAAGTTTATATAATTTAAATTATTGATGTAATGTTTAAGGATATAATAGGACATATAAGTTTAATCCTATGGATTAAAAATAATCCTTGCCTCTTGGGGAGGATTGAAACATCCTATGCCAAGAGGATGATTAATCCTTACAATCCTATCCTTTCTTTAGATACAAATCAAACATGATATAGGATGATTATCATCCTATATACTAAACATGACCTATATGGACAAAGTTCAACATAAGAAATCAAACTAATAACTTACGTAGAAGGAGCCTGCAGCAAGCAATAAGCAAGAAAAACTGCAATCATTGCCCATACACCCCTACAAAAACAGCCCATAGTAGCCACTTAAAATATGTCAGCAAAAAAAAAAAAAAAGCGAAGAACTTAAAATGCAATTAGAAATAAATAGAAACCTTTTTACAGATGTTACAAGATCACCATATTCGCTGCTCTCAGGATCAAGGGCTCCACTTGCCCAACTGGTAAATATATACAGACAATAAATAAATACTAATATAAAAATTGAGATATAATTTAAATTAAAAAAAAAAGAGAAAGTGGTTTCCTTTAGAAAAACAAAGGAAAAGAAAAAGAAAAAAAATCCAGGTTATTTATCGTTTTCTATATCTAGCAAAAAAACTATAGGTGGGACATGCAAATTAAGAATCTCATACTGGGTGCACCAGGTTAGAAAACATTTATAGAACACAATTATAAGAAACTAGTCATATCAAATGGAAGAAAACAGTATAATTATCAGGGTACTGCATTTAGTCAAAATAGATAATATAACAATTGATTGCCTTAGAGAACAGTTACTTTTACAAGGGCAAAATGAAAAAAGAAAAAAGAAACAAGTATAGTTGAATAAAATTTATTATATGATATAGATTCAAAACATACATGTAGGTTGCCATGAGATTTTCCTAGAATTTGTAAAATAATCTTCAACGCCATAGCCTCATTGTAAACATAGTGTCCTTTTTAATACACAGACCCCATCCCCTTGCTCACAAACCTTGATTTGCTGAAAGTGTCAGCAACACTATAGCAGCATTGAAAATATCAAGGAGGGGAACTAGCAGAAAACTAATTCAAACTGAGAATTAAGCTTTACTTACTTATACACTATAGAATAGCAAATCCTTTCCAGAACATGGTAGATGCAACAGAAACAAGTTCCAAAACTAGGACCCATGGAAAACTATATGGTTGATGACAACCAAAAGATTGACGGCTATTCACAATAAAAACATGAGCACAAGTTCAAACCAAAAGATAAATTCTAGCGACAAAAGAAAATTCTATGTGTAATTGAAAGATAAGTGACCAACAATACAAAAAGGGATAAAATTGCAGAATTTATAGTTGAATTTCATCTAAAAGGAAGTATATATTAAACAGGGCACTCACATAAGAAAGCATGCACCAATAAATAATAATGAAATAGTATGAGGTTTGTACGCCCATGCAGTCCACGGATCTAGTTCATCGACAGAAAATGATAAACCAGTATTTCCATTTTCCTGAACAAGATGATCCCTTCTCACTCTCCTTTGACCATTGGTTTCCATAGGCTCACAGTGTTTCAGAAATACAACCTGCTCACTGCAGAACAACATCATTAAAAACCATCATAAGTAAGATTCAGCGAATTGTACTTGAGAATTTCTACACATGACAATCTTACAAATAACAGGAAGAGAAAATCAAATCTAAATAAGTTACTATACATACAAAATGAGCAGTATAGAACTAAAAAATTAAGCCCAAAGAAGGAGGGCATTGATAACATATATGGATATGAAATACGAAATACGAAATTCATTCACTAAATCTAATGTTAAAAGAACTTGTCTTATTAACCAACTTTATGGGGGGAAATAGAACAACCTTAGCCTAACCATCGAAACATCTTCAACGCAACAATTTAATAAAAATAAGAAAAAAGATGGAAATTTTTACCATCAGATATATCCCCCAAAGTGATACTTTCATCTCTCTTTTTTTAAAAGAACTCGGATTTCATTTAAGCCTGATAACATGATATAATTCAACATTCGGTAAATATCATCAAAGGATATAAGGCTCTCTCTCTCTCTCTGTGTCTCTCCCTCTCTTAGGCTCGTTTGGTGGGAGGGAAAAAGTTTTAATTAGATTAATACTTTTCCCTTTCTTTCCTCTTTCTTCCTTTCTTACCAAAGGGGGTGTTAAGAACTTTGTATGCAGTGTTTCCAAAAAAAAAAAAGTTAAATACTATGCTATTTCTTAATGAGCAACGTTTTCTAAATTATATAAAACAGTAGCTAAGTCCCCATTAATCCATGCAGGCTCAAGGGGAGAGTGTACAGCCACAATATAATCCCATGATAACCAAAACTCTCACATCACTTTTACTACAACCGAGAATACATAAAACTGAACTCACATCATTACTGTTGGTATGGTGGCATAAACAGTTTTTTATGTCATCTTAACTCCAGGGGATGTTTTGGTCACTACAAAAGCTATAAGCATTGCAACAGAGACATTTAATTTGCAGGACTACCAAAGACAACTCACATGTTTGGGCTGGAATGTGCAAAATGCAAGACCAATCAAGTGAGACAAATTGTACACCAGCCTATGAAAATGTAAGGGAATAATCTTGGAAAGGATGGAAGCAAAGCAGTAAACCCTCCCTAAAGCAATGGTCCCTACAGATAGCCCAAGAATTGAAACTCACATTCAACACCAGTTCATGCGATGTGACAATCCACTTTTCTACAGGGAAAAGTGATATTCTACATTTTAATCTATCTACCACATAATAATTATCAAAATATAGTTGCCTTATTATCCTCATAATATACAAAGCTACTGGTCATTTCAATCATCAAAAAGCAAAAATTTTCACCAGCACGACAAGATAAAAAGATCCAAACTTTAAGATGGCTCTCAAAAACTTCTTTTGAGAAGAGAATTTTCCAAGCACCGTTACAGTAGTTTTAGCAGCAACAACATTCAATACTCCTCACATGGAACTAAAATAGAAACGTTTTAGATCGTTACAACATAACCCACAATAAGCCTCTAAATCTCTTTAAAACAGAATAATAGTTTGTATATAAGTATTATGATATTAGGATTTAACTTTGCATTTATTTATGTCTTAGAAAAAATTAAAATGCAAAATAAATAAATAAATAAACCCATGAGAAAGCAAAGTAAACAATTCCTATACTTTGAAGCAAAAATAAAGCCCGTACGTAACATTAGTATCAAATCTAAGAACTATAGAAAGAATCCGCCATGGAAAAATCACTAAATACAAAGAACATATGCATATAACACCCACTACGGATTCCATCCGCACTATGTAAAAGAACAAATGGAAATTCTTTTCCGATGCTGAGAAAATAAAAAATAACAAATCACTTTCCAAATATGGGATCAACAAAAGTCGAAAGAGAAAAAAATTTTGCTTTGTTTACATAAAATATAAATAAACTCATTGATCCCAAGTAGTTGCTAGACTGTTTTTTGTTCCTTTTATGAAAAAACAAATACTGTAGGGTTTAAAACTCATGCTGAAATTTTTAAAAGGAATAAATTCTAGTATAATTCGAGAATAAAAATGGTTGCTTTAATATAAGCTAATCAAGAAAATTTGGTGTGGATAAATAAATTTAAGTAATAAATGAAAAAGAAAAACAAATCCAAAAATGTTTCATTGCATGTAATCCTAAAAAATAAAAAAAGAAATGATGAAAAATAAAACTTCATCCTTCAAAACAAATAGAAAGTAGGCAATGGAAACAATTACTAACAGTGGATTTTTGAAAGAGCTGATTTGTTAAAGAAGACGACGACGTAGAGGGCGCGAAAGTGAGAAGAGATAGTTCAGAAGAGAGAGATTATTATAAGGAAATGATTCAATAAATTATATTTATATATATATATATATATATATTGGAAAAAAAAAAAAGGCGAAGAGAGAGATGAAAAGTTGGCCTAAAAGGCAAGCGCATTTTAGCCCATTCAGATTTAAAAAATATTTGTGGAGTTTCAGGTTCAGGTCAGGTGGTGGAGACTGCAGAGTGGAGAAGAGATAGACTTTAGACTAACGTGGGGAGCAGAGCTGACAAAGAGAGAGATAAGTTAGCGGCACTAACCGTACGATGGAACTAACCAGAAGATAGCAGCCGTCCGATCCTTTGCTGTTTCCTTCCAGCCCCAGATGACGAAGATGAAAACAAAGAAAGACTGAGAGTTGAATGAATAAAAGCAGGAACGGAGTTATTGAAACCAGAAGAAAAAGAAAAAGAAGTGAAAGAGTAAGTGTTATCAATGAAATCTGATACACTTTCAAGCAGATATATTATATATAATAATAAATAAGTATATTATTTGTTATTTTAGCAGAGAGAGAAAAAAAAAAAAAAACTGAAAGCTAATAAAAAAGAGAAAGCTTTCAACTTTTTTTTTTTTTTGGGTTTTATTTCTGAGCAATGGAAAGGTAGCGGCGGCGAAAAGGGCAAGGAAAATGAGATTGGATTAAAAGGAATAAAAAGTTACTCGTAATATTTTTTTTTAATTAAAAGAGCGAAGGAAAGGGCAATTGAACATTTTTGGTCAAAGAGATATTTGAAGACGTTTGTGTTAAAAAACGGAAGTGGCCAGAGTGAGAGACGAGGGAGAAGTGCTGCTAGCCTTCGAGCTTATGTTTTTTTGTTTTTTTTTTTTTAATGTCTACATATTTTCTAAATTACCCTTTCGACTCAGTCTCTTTTTTTCTTTAAAATAATAATATGTATGTGAATCTCTCGTTAAAATACTGGCAAAAGAAATCTCTATGAGGATGATTTTGGACTTATAAATAATGTTTTTTTATTTAATACTTCATTTGTCTCTTTTTTTATTATTTTTTATATCTCAAAATTAAGTCTTATTTTTTAAAAAAATTTAAAACTTTTACAATTTTATATTTTAAAATTATATTTTATAAATTTTTTTTTACTTTTTAACATTAAAATTTATGAAATTTTAATTTTACAAAAAAATTTAATTTTAACATTAGATACATTAAAATCAAATTTTTTTTCTTATATTTCATGAAGTTAATATAAAACAAATAAATTAAGATCGAGCAAGTAAATATGTTTTCAAATAAAAACATATTGAGCTCATGATAAGTTGCATCAAAGTTTATTCAGCTTTTTCAATGATATGGACTCCATAAAAGATACCACGTCCAAACAGTCAGAGTTAGTGCAATAAGAGTGTTACACAATTGGGATATGAATTATATTGTACCCATAAGTCATAAATTTTCTTCCATTTAATAAATATGTTTTTTTGAATTAAAGATGTGAGCTTATAACAAGTGTGATATCAAACTCTAAATGATTGCATATTACTGTAATATCTGCAAGTATATAAATCAAGTAATAAAGTAAAAGTATTTAAGTATCATTTTTTAAGGGATTATAGATTGTAATCTTGTAATCCTAAACTCTTACATCTAAACAAACGAAAATTTAAGATTGGTTGCAATAAATAAATAAATAAATAAAATCAATATAGGCTCAGATCTTAACTTTATCAACTGTCACTTGGTAAATTAAAGATAGTAGCCAAACGAGATTTAAAAGAATAAATGCTTGAAAATATTAAAGACAATAGGAATTTTAGGTTGGTTGAACACTAATGTGTATAATAGAAAGAGTTGTAATCAAAGATTGCATAAAAAGAAGACTTAAAACTAATGAGCATTAAAAACCTTGTACCCATCTTTCTTTACTAACATCTTTCTTTACTAACGTTAGACTTATACACTTGACCTAAGATCAAAAGGTCTTTTAAGTTTATAATGTAAGGCTTGGATTAAAGTATGAAAAAGAAAATTTAAGGCTCAAAACCTTAATCTCACTTTCTTAAAATTTCTTAGACTTTAGAATTGAAGAAATTGAGAGTTTTGAAACTTTGAATACTTGAGGCATCATTTCATTCTTTAATTCATGACATTAGTTTTTTTTTTTTTTTTTGACTTAGCCATTTGTGGCTTTATTAGGCTTTGCTTTTACTTTTATCATTTTCTTTTACTTTTAGTCTTTGTGCCTCCCTTCCTCCCAAATACATAAAAATGCCCATAATGTAATTTAGCTCAATTGGGTTAGGTAAAAGCTAAAAAAGGGATAATAATAATAAAAAATGGCTTATTGTGCTTATTATGTGGCTAAATAAATGAAGAAAAAGATTAATATAAAATGCTCAAATTAAAGGTACTAAGGATGCATCATTAAAAAATGGGCTCGAAAAACTCAAATGGTCCAAAAAATGCTTAGATCATCTCTTGAGTTAAATAAAGCCTAGGATTGGGTAGGTGAATTCAAGAGTTTTATTCAAATCCTCAAATTTCATGAAACATAATTACAAACTAAGGTGTTTTCATACTTAATATTACAAACATTTAATGCATTAAATTTCAAGACTAAAATGGATCAAACATAGAAAACTTTAAATTTTAGTTTAAATGTTCCACTATTGTTCATCATTTAACATAACCAAACAACTTCCAAAATCCACCAAAAACAATCATCAAACAACCTTTTTTCAATAAAACTTTTTGTTCAAGCATGTTGGAAAATTGCCAAACATCATAGAAACATAATAGAAAACATGGATCAAAGAGTAAATGACCAACAAAGCATGAAATATGGTTCAACCAAACACAAATTCCCTATAGCTGAATCTTCTTAACCTATTTCCCAAGCATTTTCTTTATCTCATTTCCTTTACAAGCATGATTCATTTGAAATCATTGTAACAATTTCATCAAACACAAAATGACCTATATATAACTTGAAAATCTTATGAACAATAATATCAACCAAACAACAACAAATTTTCCATTAGTAATTTATTCTATCCACATGGAAACTTGAAACTTATAACTAAAACATCATTTATCAATCATGAACCAAACAAGAAATGATCATCAAGCTAAGCAAAAGATTCGACTAAGGAAAAAAATGCAATGATTGAACCTCCCATGAATTGTTTTCTTTAAGCATGATTTCATTCTATTTCATCCAACTAGCATCATTTACTCTTTCATTCATCAGAGAAAGCATTTGGAGCACAAAAAACATTTATCAAACATGATGTAAACTAATAAAATAAAATACAATAAATGAAACTGAAACTGAAACATGAACCAAACACCAACACATTTTATTAGCCAAACAAAATTTATACAAAAATCAAGCTAGCTAATCATTTACAAATCACAAGTAAGTTTGATGAACAAAGAAATTCTCAAAATGGCCAAGAGGAGGTTCAGTCAACAAGAAAGACTTATGGCCAAACCTCTAACTTGGTTTTCTTAATGGTGGATTTTATTGCTTTTGCTTGTATTTTAATCTTCAAACCAACTATTAATTAGTTGAATGAAGAATGATTCAAACTTTGTCCAAGAAAAATAAACTAAAAACCTTTTAGAAAATCTAGCAAGAAATAAATGAAATATAATGAAAAATGTAATAAAAGATGAAATCGAGATGCTAAAAATGCAAATGATGAATGTTGAGATGGACACCTTCAAGCAAAAACACCAAAGTTTTTTTTCTTTCTATTTTTTCCTCACATTTTTCTTTCCTTTTCTCCTTTATTTTTTTTTTCACATTATTTCCTTTGATTTCATGCAGCAAAAAAGTCCCCATTGAATGAAGAAGAAACCAAAAATAAAATCTTACAAGATTGAATGTAGGCCTTAGAATCAAATCTCTTCCAAAGGCCAAAATTCCTCTTTTGTTTTGAATTCAAAGAGCAATCTTTAGCCAGGGTCTACATTATTTACTACAAAGGTTGAATTTGTACAACTCCTAAACCAAATGAAAAGGCAATTTTGCCCTTAATACAAAATTTTCGGTATTTAGAGTAATTTCTTAGAAATCAATGTTCTTGTATTCATTTTTTAGATTTTAAAGCACAAAAAATCATGAAATATTATGAAATTGAGATCTAAAAATTTTCATGAAAATCTAACCTTAAAAATATCAAATTACAAAAATACTCCTAAAAGGAAATTCTGAATACACAAAAAAAATCATCAAATATTATAAAATCATGTTATACAAAATTTTGCGAAAAACCAACCTAGAAAAGATAAAATTACAAAATTACCCCTAAAGGAGTATTTTGATAATTTCACACTTCTAAGGTACAATCAAGGTTTTTAGAATTCTAAAAGACATCAAACATTATAAAATCATAAATTGGAACTTTTCACAAAATTTTGACCTTAGGAATGTCAAATTATGAAAATACCCTTAAAGGGTATTTTGGTAATTTCATAGTTCTCAATGTATGATCTAGGCTTTCAATGTATCAAAAATAATTAGAAAAATATTTAATTATAATCTAAAAATTTTCAAAAAAATTCTATTTAAGGAAGTCAAATTAGGAAAATACCTTTAATGGGCGTTTTGGTAATTTTATATTCTTAAAGTACAATCAAAATTTTTAGGACTTTAAAAATCACCAATTCTATTTTTAAATCACATTAATTCCAATTGGGTTGTGAAATTTGAGGATTGTCTTGGGTTCTATCCGTTTTTATCAATTTTGACTTAGTTTGACTAATTTTGACTTTGTTGACTAAGTTTGA